CCTCCGAGAGTCTCTGGTGGGTACGGGGTTTGATTCTAAATGCAATTTTGCCCATCCTTGCTGGGGCTTGTCTTTTGCCTCCTCTTTTGGTGTCCCTTGGACGCAGGGTATCATTTTTTGGTGGGATCCAACATTCTCCTGTTGATGGTTTTTCAGCAGTGACTCAGGAGAAAGGAGCAGTGACCTCACAAGAGACTAACCCAAACTTGCCCGTCAGTGTCCAGGAGTCTCCAGCAGAGGTGTGGGTCGGCGGTGGTCTTCTGCAGGGCTCGGGGCACTGAGTGTAGCAGTGCCTGCATGGGACCTTTTGAAGGAGGTCACCTTTATCTTCATGATCTCCACTATAGTTTGGCCTCAGGTCAAACAACAGGGAGGGAACACAGCCCCGCCCATCAACAGAAAATTGGATTAAAGACTTACTGACCATGGCCCTGCCCATCAGAATAAGATCCCTCAGTCATTCTCTCTAATTAGGAAGCTTCCATAAGCCCCTTATCCTTCTCCATCAGAGGGCAGACAGACTGAAAACCATGGTCACAGAAAACTAACCAGTCTGATCATATGGACCACAGCCATGTCTAACTCAGTGAAACTATGAGCTATGCCAAATATGGCCACCCAAGACAGACGGGTCATGGTGGAGAGTTCTGACAAAATGTAGTCCACTGGAGAAGGGAATGGCAAACCACTTCAGTATTCTTGCCTTGAGAACCCCATGAACAGTATGAAAAGGCAAAAAGACAGGACACTGAAAGATGAACTCCCCAGGTCGGTAGGTGCCCAAAAATGCTACTGGAGCTCAATGGAGAAATAACTCCAGAAAGAATGAAGAGATGGAGCCAAAGCAAAAACAACTCCCAGTTGTGGATGTGACTGGTGATAGAAGCAAGGTCTGATGCTGTAAAGAGCAATGTTGCATAGAAACCTGGAATGTTAGGTCCATGAATCAAGACAAATTGAAAGTAGTCAGACAGGAGATGGCAAGAGTGAAGGTCGACATTCTAGGAATCAGCGAACTAAGATGGACTGGAATGGGTGAATTTAACTCAGATGACCATTATATCTACTACTGTAGACAGGAATCCCTTAGAAGAAATGGAGTAGCCATCATAGTCAACAAAAGAGTCTGAAATGCAGTACTTGGATGCAGTCTCAAAAATGACAGAATGATCTCTGTTCATTTCCAAGGCAAACCATTCAATATTATGGTAATCCAAGTCTATGCCCTGACCAGTAATGCTGAAGAAGCTGAAGTTGAATGGTTCTATAAAGACCTACAAGACCTTTTAGAACTAACACCCAAAAAAGATGTCCTTTTTATTATAGGGGACTGGAATGCAAAAGTAGGAAGTCAAGAAGCACCTGGATTAACAGGCAAATTTGGCCTTGGAGTACAGAATGAAGCAGGGCAAAGGCTAACAGAGTTCTGCCAAGAGAATGCACTGGTCATGGTAAATACCCTCTTCCAACAACACAAGAGAAGACTCTACACATGGACATCACCAGATGGCCAAGACCGAAATCAGATTGACTATAATCTTTGCAGCCAAAGATGGAGAAGTTCTATATGGTCAGCAAAAACAAGACCAGGAGCTGACTGTGGCTCAGATCATGAACTCCTTATTGCCAAATGCAGACTTAAATTGAAGAAAGTGGGGAAAATCATTAGACAATTCAGGTATGACCTAAATGAAAGCCCTTATGATTATACAGTGGAAGTGAGATATAGATTTAAGGGACTAGATCTGATAGACAGAGTGACTGATGAACTATGGACGGAGGTTCGTGACATTGTACAGGAGATAGGGATCAAGACCATCCCCAAGAAAAAAAAATGGAAAGAAGCAAAATGGCTGTCTGAAGAGGCCTTACAAATAGCTGAAAAAGACGAGAAGCAAAAAGCAAAGGAGAAAAGGAAACATATACCCATTTGAATGCAGAGTTCCAAAGAATAGCAAAGAGAGATAAGAAAGCCTTCCTCAGCGATCAATGCAAAGAAACAAAGGAATACAATAGAATGGGAAAGACTAGAGATCTCTTCAAGAAAATTAGAGATACCAAGGGAACATTTCTTGCAAAGATGGGTTCAATAAAGGACGGAAATAGTAGGGACCTAACAGAATAAGAAGATATTAAGAAGAGGTGGCAAGAATACACAGAAGAACAATACAAAAAAGATCTTCATGACCCAGATAATCACGATGGTGTGATCACTCACCTAGAACCAGACATCCTGGAATGTGAAGTCAAGTGGGCCTTAGGAAGTATCACTACAAACAAAGCTAGTGGAGGTGATGGAATTCCAGTTGAACTATTTCAAATCCTAAAAGATGATGCTATGGAAGTACTGCACTCATTATGCCAGCAAATTTGGAAAATTCAGCAGTGGCCACAGGACTGAAAAATGTCAGTTTTCATTCCAATCCCAAAGAAAGGCAATGCCAAAGAATGCTCAAACTACTGCACAATTGCACTCATCTCACACACTGCAACGTAATGCTCAAAATTCTCTAAGCCAGGCTTCAGCAATAAGTGAACCATGAAATGCCAGATGTTCAAGCTGCATTTTGAAAAGGCAGAGGAACCAGAGATCAAATGGCCAACATCTGCTGGCTCATCGAAAAGCAAGAGAGTTCCAGAAAAACATCTATTTCTGCTTTATTGACTATGCCAAAGCCTTTGACTGTGTGGATCACAATAAACTGTAGAAAATTCTGAAAGAGATGGGAATACCAGACCACCTGACCTGCCTCTTGAGAAACCTGTATACAGGTTAGGAAGCAATAGTTAGAACTGGACATGGAACAGCAGACTGGTTCCAAATAGGAAGAGGAGCATGTCAAGGCTATATATTGTCATCCTACTTATTTAACTTATATGCAGAGGACATCATGAGAAATGCTGGGCTGGAGGAAGCACAAACTGGAATCAAGATTGCCAGGAGAAATATCAATAACCTCAGATATGCAGATGACACCACCCTTATGGCAGAAAGTGAAGAACTAAAGAGCTTCCTGATGCAAATGAAAAAAGAGAGTGAAAACGGTGGCTTAAAACTCAACATTCAGAAAACTAAGATCATGGCATCTGGTCCCTTCACTTCATGGCAAATAGATGTGGAAACAGTGGAAACAGTGGTTGACTTTATTTTTGGGGGTTCCAAAATCACTGCAGATGATGACTGCAGCCATGAAACTAAAAGACACTTACTTGTTGGAAGGAAAGTTATGACCAACCTAGACAGCATATTAAAAAGCAGAGACATTTTTTTTGTCAACAAAGGTCCATTTAGTCAAGGCTATGGTTTTTCCGGTGGTCATGTATGGATGTGAGAGTTGGACTATAAAGATAGCCAAGTGCAGAAGAATTGATGCTTTTGAACTGTGTTGTTGGAGAAGACTCTTGAGAATCCCTTGGACCACAAGGAGATCCAATCAGTCCATCCTAAAGGAGATCAGTCCTGGGTGTTCATTGGAAGGACTGATGTTGAAGCTGAAACTCCAGTACTTTGGCCAACTGATGTGAGGAGCTGACTCATCTGAAAAGACCCTGATGCTGGGAAAGATTGAGGGTGGGAGGAGAAGGTGACGACAGAGGATGAGATGGTTGGATGGCATCATCGACTCGATGGACATGGGTTTGGGTGGACTCTGGGAGTGGGTGATGGACAGGGAGGCCTGGCGTGCTGCGGTTCATGGGGTCGCAAAGAGTCGGACACAACTGAGTGACTTAACTGAAATGAACTGAAATATAAGAAACCATGCTTAACATTATTAATGACTAGGTAATTGAAAAGTAAAATCACTGTAAGATACCACTTCACACATATGAGTATAGCTAGAATCAAAAGTCAGATAATAACAAAAATTGGCGAGTATTTGGAAAAACTGGAACACTCATACCCTGGAGGTAGAAAATGATGAAGCCACTTTGTAAAGCAGTCTGGCAGTCTCTCAAAAGGTTAAATATAGATGTACCACATGATCTAGCTCTTCTCCTCCTAAGTATATTCCCAAAAGAAGTGAAAATGTGTTTACTCAAGAATCTGTGCACAGATGCACACAGCAGCATTATTGATATCAGTCAAAATGTGGAAATGACCCAAATGTCTGTTACATGATTAATGGATAAATAAAATGTGGAATGGAATACTATTTTGCAATATAAAGTAATAAAGTGCTGATATATGATACAGTGTGGGTGGACCTGAAAACATTATACTCAGTAAAAGAAGCCAGTAACAGATGAATTCACATGATACAATTCCATTATATGAATAAGCAGAATAGTCAAAACTAAAGAAATTGAAAATAGATGAGTAATTATCTAGGTCTTTGGTGGAGAAGAGGGAGATATCTGTTGAAGGGTGCAGGCTGCTTTTTGGCATGGTAGAATTGTTCAAAAATTAGAATATACTTGAAAACAATTGTGCGGGACACACACATACACACACAAACACACACATTTCACTTTTTAAATGTCATCCACAGTTCTACTCAGTCCTCACTGTAACTACCACTTTTCAAAGTCTCCGTCCTGAGCTTTTCCCCACATTTTAGATGTGTGTGTCTAGCTGCCCACTTGATGTCTCCACTCACTGTTTTCTGAAACATCTCAGAACCTTAACAGCACCAAAACAAAACTTCTCATGAGCCTACTGACAACTGTCACATCCAAGTTGAGGAAGGATATATTCCTTCAACTGCCAGAAACAAAAACCATGGAGTCATCCTTAACCTTTCTCTTTTTCTCCCTCACCTACAACATCCCAAAGTCTACTTGGCTCTTCATTAAAAATGTACCTAGAACCCCAACCTGTATACCATCTCCATGGCCACAGTTCTGGTCCTTCAACACTCATTTGGACAACAGCACGGATCGCCTGGACTCCTGCCTCCTTCCTTAATTCCAAAGTCTTTTCTCCCCAGCCAGATGGAGCCTACTAAAACTGGTTAACATCACCTACGTCCTTTTATCCAAACCTCTCACTACCTCCAGAAATGATGCCAGACTTCTTAGATAGCCTCATCACAGGCCTGATTACTGATCCTCAGTCATTTGTTCTTAACATAAAGATGGGAGGCCTCCTGTATGTACCCTGTTCCCACCTTAGTCACATGTCCAAACATCTGCATATGCTGGGATCTGTTCCTGAGATAACCTTCCACGCCAGTTTACACTGGTTGTCAGGAGTGGGAATACCTCTATGTTACCCCTGTCCGGCCCCTAGGACCCAGGGCTTGGGGACATCCTCAGGACCCCCACACTCAAGCCCTGAGAATATACAAAGGGAAGAGTCTCAATACCCCACAACACCCAGACACTTTAACAGCAGTGTCCTTACCACTGAGGATGGAGACACCCTCTCCTGCGGTGTGTGGGATCCCTAAGTACTTAAAAACCTCCGGAACCTGTGGGAAAAGGAAGGTAACTATGGCTGGGCTCCAGGTATGCAGGAATCTCCTGTATCCCCACCCACGCTTGGGACCTGGTGACCTCTGCTTAACTTCGGTCTGCTTCAGCCCTCAGAGCTGCCCCGCAGCAGGTCTCTGCTCTTGAACAAGGCCTCTGGTTCCCTGTGCCTCAGCGTCCCCAGCACCCATACTCCAGCCTATTCCCGCCTCCAGACACATTTGGCTATCTTCTAAATGATGGCTCAGTCAAGACTCTGCCTGCGAGGTGGGAGACCCGGGTTCAATCCCTGGACCGGGAAGATTCCGTGAAGAAAGGACATGGCAACCCACTCCAGGATTCTTGCCTCCAGAAGCCCATGGACAGAGAAGCCTGGCAGGCTTACAGCCCATGGGGTCACAAAGAGCTGGACACGACTGAGCGACTACCGAACGCTAACATATCACGTGCCCACCAGCCTCCAAGGCCTCAGCAAGAGGCCATCCTGAGGCACTCGGCCACACTGCTGACTGGACACACGTCGAACCCAGATTTCCGAGTCCTCCCGCCTTGGGCTGACCGCCAACCCTCTCCCCGGGCCGGGCCCTCCGCCCGCGACCCCTGCCCACGCGCCGCCGTCACACTGTTTGTCAGAAACGGGGCTCCACCCACGGCCGCCCGAGAGGCTGGGCCTGGGCTGCAGGCCTGGGAGCGGTGCCCGGCACCCTAGGCTTCAGCGTCCGGCGGAGCGTTTACCTGCGGCGGGTCCCACCGCACGGCCTCTGCCTCCCGAGTCGGCGGGCACAGTGTGGCTGGAGCGGCCTGAGAGGACGGGGCGCTGGGCACGGGGTCCGCATTCCGGCCTGGTCCGGTCGCCTCCAGGGGTGTCGCCAGCCTCGGGCCTGTCTTTGTGGCGGGGAAAGGAGAGAGGCCCCTCCACTGGCGCTTCCTCAGACCCATCACCCCGTCCTGAACCAGCACCTCGTGAGAACAGATCCCGCGCGGGCAAAATGGCCGCCTAAGGAAGGCTGGGAGTCCCTGCCGGACAGGTTTGCTCCTTTGTTAAACTTTTTTTTTTTTTAGAAATTGAAGTGTAGTTGATTTACAATGTTGTGTTAATTTCAGGGGTACTGCAAAGTGATTCAGTTATATATATATTTTTTGTTTCAGTTTCTTTTCCTTTATAGAAAGAAAGAAAGGGAAGTCGCTCAGTCGTGTCCGACTCTTTGCAACTCCATGGGCTGTATAGCCTACCAGGCTCCTCCGTCCATGGAATCTTCCAGACAAGAATACTGGAGTGGGTTGCCATATCCTTTTCCAGGGGATCTTTAAAACCTTGCGTATAGTTCTTGTGCTGTGCAGTAGGTCCTTATTGGTTATCTATTTTATATACAGATCTGTATGTTGATCAACATCTAGTATGTTGATCTTCGACTTCTAATATACCCTCCCCTCCAGTAACTATCCGTTTTCCTCTGTGGCTCAGCTGGTAAAGAATCCGCCTGCAATGCAGGAGACCTGGGTTCGATCCCTGGGTTGGGAAGATCCTCTGGAGAATGGAACGGCTACTCACTCCAGTATTCTGGTCTGGAGAATACCTCGGACTTGTATAGTCCATGGGCTCGCAAGAAGTCAAACAGGACTAAGCGACTTTGACTTTCACTTCCGGTAACCATCAGTTTATTTTTCTATGTCTGTGGGTCTATTTCTGATTTGTATGTAAGTTCATTTGTATCATTTTTTTCTTTTTTAGATTTCACATATAAGTGGTATTGTATAATGTTTGTCTGCTTTTACTTCACTTAGTATGACAGTCTCTAGGGCCATCCATGTTAATGTGCATGGCATTATTCCATTCTTTTTTAAGGCTGAGTAATATTCCATTGTATATATTACCACATCTTCTTTATTCATTCCTCTATAGATGGACATTTAGATTGCCTCCATGTCTTGGCTATTATAAATAATACTGTATGGACATTGGGGTTCATGTGTCTTGGAAATTATGGTTTTCTCCAGATGTGTGTCCAAAAGTGGGATTTCTAGATCCTATGGTAGCTCTATTTTTAGGTCTTTAAGACCTCCTGGAGAGTTTTGATCCTAAATGGATGTTGAGGAAACTTCTTAGCCTTCTGAACCAGTTTGCCAGCTCTTATCATCGACTATTATTTTGTAGTTAATTTTGACAGTGTTAATGAACTGTTGAACTGAGTGACAGAGTTTCAACATATAAAGCACATAAGATTGTTTTATTTGGGTTACATCTAGAATGCTTTTATCTGTACTTGAATGTAAATTTTCAGAGCATGACAATAAATCTGAATGATATGTCTCATTTACATTATTGAAGTTGTTACACTGGTTAGATATGTTGGTAATGGTAACTAATCAAACACCTGTCATTGATTACACATGACTTCAGGTATGCCAACAGTTTTTCAGTTTTAAGATTGTCCAAATGCCAAGACTGAATCTAGAGTCAGATGGTTTTGGCAGAATTCTGGGGAGACATTGACAGAGTGCTGTGCATAGAGGGGAACTCAAGAAATATTCACATTTTGACTAGTTGAGGATATTAATTATTATTTAAAAAACATTAAAGAGTGTGTATGTGTGTGTAAAAAGAATGTATGGAGTCTCAGAGATATATAACCTGTATCAGCAAGTACTAAAGTTAAGAGAACTTCCTTACCCCTGTCTTGATTATAGAAGGTTTGTTTTAGTTTCTGTCTGAAGTTCATTGAAAGGTGCTGTTTGGAAACTTCTGTAATTGATTTAACATTTTGCAATTAGGATACTTGACACACTTGTCATTTCATGTGGAAAAAAGTAGACATTTGAAAAAATGAAATGTGTTCTCATAAGTGCCTTTCCAGGGCCACTCAATGGTAAATGGAAAGTTGCTTTGCATTATTAAAATACATTTTCATTTATAAGATGCCAGAAATGATTCGTTCTTGTTTTCAGTTTCTGAGTCATCTATATGTAACAATTCTGCAGGTTTCCAGAGAAATGAATTATAATCTTTTGGCAATATAAGTTTTGTCTAGAGAACCTTTATAGTATTGTTGCAGAACTTGAGAGACAAAAGTCTCAGAAGAACACATGTAGGAACATATCAAAATTCTAAAGGCTTTTTCCAAATCCTTAGGATAAAATCTGCTAATCTGTCATCCAGAATGTAGTCAAGATAAAAAGAACAGCATTTTTTTTTTTTTTTTACTTTGGTCTGCTGCAAATGTGTTTAGTGAGTGACAACTGATGTGCTCAGTAATAGAACAAAAAATCAACATGATTACTTATGGAAATGTTTGCTCCCATGCATTTCGGGCTAGCAGGGTCCTACTGCCAAGATTGTTTTCCTTAAGGACCTAAGCACTAAAAAAAAAATGATGCAGATACATTAATCAAAAAGAAAAGTTTTTAAAGAGTTTATTTTTGAGTTTTATTGTCACTGTTCTTAGTGAATTGATAATCTTAATTGGATATATTTGGAATTGATCCAAATTCTTATTTGGAGATTGAATTGTTCTAGTGATTAAACAAAGTAACTGAGGTCACCACCCTATTCAATAAGATATTTTTGGCGTGTAATTAATTATAATCTCATTGTAAATCCTTTTGATTTAAAGATTAATGTTGATTCTTTGCTTCCATTATGCTATTCATTTGGTTTTTTAATTAAAATTAAGGCACACAACAGATCATTGTGGAACTTCTTCAAGATGTTGATCCTACTCATTTAAAAAGTCTGTTTTATTTTTAGTCAAAAGCAATGAATTTGGCATAGCTACATTGATTCTGTTATATTGCAGAAGAAAGATACATAGGGATTATTTTATAACAGTTCATTTATAAATGTTTGTTTTATTATTTCAGTTTTTAAGGTATGATCAATTTCTTTTGATTTTTCTCCAAGGTTTTATGAATTTTTATTCATTTTCTTGACCATGCCTTCTTTTTACATACACACACACTATTTAAAAACTATATTAATAAGAATGGGGAACTTCATAATTCCTCAGGCTCAGCTTAAGTACCCATAGGAAACATTTCCATGGTATTTCCAACCAAATGAATGATTTTACATATTTTCTTATACACAGAGTTACTGTTCTATTCTATTTAATAGCTATGACTCATAGTCAAGTATAATTTTTGTCATGAACATCTAGAGGGAAAATGTTAGATATCAACAACTTAGGACAGGATGTTGTTTTGTTGTATATGGGTATTATAGATTTTAACATTTTATGTATCTGCTAATTGTAGAAATCCTATAACACATACTAATTTAATGTTTTCATGTATAAAAATGAATTAAAAATGACATTTAAGTAAATCATTCATCTTAGAAATCATATAGATAACATGCAAGAAAGATGCTAGTTTTCTGAAACAAAAGTGACATACTATTGACAAATAATAACTTAATTCTATAAAGCTAAAAATGACTTAGAGGTTACTTCATTAGCATGTAGTCATATTTAGCCCCTGGCCTGCCTTGGATGGAATGGATATTAATTTGTGCTCATGGTGAAATTGAAGGCACTAATAGTTGAAAGACCGTAACAATCACTTGCCCTTTCCCTCTTGGAATGGGCTGTTTGATTTCCACCAATACAGTGAACGTGAGGGACGAAGTTAGGTCAAGAAACTAAGGGAGAAGATGTGCCAAATAACTGAACAGGAAGATAAAAAGTAAAATCTGGCAATTTTTCCAGCTTTGGAGTCAGTAGCACTAGCACTGAATTTTATAATGAGGTAGGGGTCTGGCCAGAAGGACTTTGACCCAGGAAACTAGAGGAGCTTCTAATCCTAATTCTCAGCTAACATCTTCCCTACTCCTGGAGGTCAAAGCAAAAGTATGAGAGTTAACCTTGCCTCCAAACCCAGACAGAATCCCAAACTATTTTCTGTTCCTCACAGGGGGCCTGGGTTGAGACTAAAATTGTAATTAAGTTAATCATGTGTAGATTATTGCAGAGATAATAGCATTTATCAGATGATTCATGAAGGTGAGTCATAAATGTGGAATGTTTTGCAGTGAGGAAGATAGCATAATTCCAAGCCTACTGTAAACTATTTAATCGGCAGCCTATTTAAACTCTGAAAGTGGGAGGTGGTGCCCTCTTTGGTGAGGCCTTGAAGTGTTTGCTCATGTGACGAGGGTCTTTTGAGTCTTGCAGGCCTCCTCTGTAACCTGTCTGTCTACCTTAGGATCCTTAGGATCACACAAATTCTTTAGCTGTTGATGATATAAAATAAATCTACATTCCTAACACAGTGAGAGCTCCAGAACCATCTAAATGGAATATGAAATCCCCACTTTCACATCTCTGTGTCTGTTACTTTTGTCCCACACATAAATTTTCCCAACTGGTGCCTCAGTTGGGAGCTAGATCTTCAACATAGTGTTAGAGCTCAGAACTAATCTTATAATTTACTCTCTTCCATATGAAATCTTCTATTTCAGGGTATATCCAAAATAAGATTAAAGAGAGGTACTTCACTATGTCCCTTTTATATTAGCTCAACAACTGTTTCTATTCACCAAGTTTCCAAAATCTTAAATAAGATATTAAAACCGATAGCTTGACAACTTGTTTCTAAACCAATTATCTGGGAATCTACTGCCATATCTCTGTTATATATGAAGATTGCCACAGTGTTCACCAGGGTCTCAGTTTTAATGGCAACTTCAGGGGGAAAGAGTATTACATTCACCAC